ATGCACTTATTGAATCGATTAGTGCCTTCATTCCTTTTAATCAGATACTTTCGATTCAAAATAAATTGCATATACGGCGAAAATCGAATCCGTTATAGCATATACAGCAAAAATCACGTAAGCTTGCATTACGCGCCATTAACGCTGGTTACCGTACCATTTTGTTGACATACTTGGAATGCTGACACGATGTTTTCCTAGATTTTTGCTTTTACTAGGTTGCTTATTTGCGCAACAGCATAATCTAGAGTTTTTACTGCTGCTCCCAAGTAGCCCGCGGATTTTGCGAACCGATTACAGCACCTAAAGAAAATTTTATCCGAAATATTTTTCAAAATGCATCGGCTATTTTTTTTTTCTTTTTTTTGTTTGCAACAATTTCCTTAAGAATCTCTGCTAGCCTGCCAGAATTGCTTAGGCAGGTCAGCTAGCGGGCTTTGTTGTGGAAGCGATTCTCTCGTTAATGCGAACCATTTAAAAAACTCAATGCCTTTTTTGGATTGTGTCTTTTTCGATTTTGGGATGAGTTTGCTAGAAACGGCTTAATTTTTCAATTTCTGGCGTATTTTTTTGCCATTCAGAAACGCCATTCTCTTTGTACTTTGTAGTTTGTCGCCTTCAGCTTTTTTTCATGGATGTTATTCGTCTGACTGTATGGCTTGTAGCCTGTAGCCTGAGACCGGCAAGCGGTAGGCTATAAATTGACCCTGTAGTCTGTGCTTAGGCAAGAATTTCCAAGTTTTGTCTCCCAACCTTCGACGTTTCGAAATCACCGACTCATCATACACCAGACGACGTTCGTTTCCCAAAAATTCCTCAAAAACCTCCGCCAGCCCTCCTCCAATTTTTTGCTCCTCCTCCCCCCTATATCCGTCCTTATGTGTCCTTCTCCTCTTCTGGAAGCCATCTTAGTCTATGCTCCTCCGATGTGCTCCCCCTTCCCGAATATGAGATTTGCAATTTGGGCGTCCCGGGCCTCTCTCACAGAAAAGGGCGCTTTTTAGGGCCGACGAGGCGCTTCCCTGGCCCTCGACCCGCCAAAACCCCGATTTTTTTCGGGTGGGACCTACGCATTTTTTGTCCCCAGGCTCGTAAGGCCAAAATTCGTGCGCCAAGGCGATTCACCCGCTTCTTGGGGCCCCGATGATCAAATTTGGACGTTTTTGCTTCAAGCTTGAAGACCGGGGTTTCTTGGGCCTTTTCTTCTGGCCCTTTTTTCGGGATTCCCCTCTCACCCCTTTGTTGCCACATTTTAGCGGGTTATGGAAAATTCACGCGCGCCGCATTTCCATATGCGTATGTAGTGGGCAGGGGGAGGGGTGAAAGTTGAAGTTTTAGGGTTGAGAAAATAGCGTGTTTTGAAGCCGTTTTTAAGATTTAAGAGATCTTAATGAAGATGTCAAATTTTAATGCTTTTTCAGCTTGTTAATTTTTTTAAAAGCAGACGCTAGTTTTTCATCGAATTTCTAACTACTTACAAGCGTCTTTCTAAATAAATAGGGACTGATACTGATAAGTAATAAACACTACGTTTTTAATGAATTCTTTGCAATTTGTGTATTTTTAAAAATATAATTTGTTTTAAAATCTCAAACTTTACGAAATTTTACAAAATTTAAATCGTTTCGGAATCATAGACTAATTTTTGAATTTTAAGACACTAGTTTCACTTCAATACCTCAAAATTAGCATAAAATAGTCTGGCTTTTTATTGCAAGACAGATTTAATGCCTTTTTAACAATTTTAATTCGAGCTTTCTCATCGATTTCCAGCCTGAGTCCGTATTCTACCCGGGGTTTATTCAGTTTTCTGTGTCACAAAACACTAGGCCGATCTACATTTTTAAGACATTCATGTGAAAGTTTTATCCTTCATAAGAAAATTTTTCAGAAAATTTTTTAGCTTATTTTTCAATTGTGAGCAAAATTCTATATGTCTGCTTTGGTTTATTCAATATTTCCCCATCCCGACCACCCAGCTTTTTCCGCGGTGTTCCGTTAGTGTACATAGTCCAATCAAACGGCGGATGGGGATGATTGTGATGCTAGGCTGGCAGCAACTGTCCCATGCTTGACTCGACCCCGGCTTGCTCATTTGTCTTATGGTCATGTTCGTTTGCTTGGGGTACAGAAAGGGACGGACAGAGAAGCATACAAACCGATGAAGGGAGAGATAGAGAATGAGAGAGAGAGCGAGAGAGAGAGAGAGAGAAAGCCAGAGAGGGAGAGAGACGGAGAGAGCAACATCACGACATACCTACAGACACACACATCAAGGCCGCCCGATCCACCCATAAAATACGGGCTAATGATCGATTGCAAGGGTCCACATTTTGGGCTTTTAGCCTCTGCGGAGTGCAAGTCTGGTACAACGCACCATCTTCCAAATTATTTTAAGGGAACCTACCCCTTTCATTTTTATGGATTTCTCGGTTATTATAGTCTTCCAATCTCGGAAACTACTTTTTAATCACTTCCTTAATACGCTCTCACTTTTGTGCTAGAAATTTCCGAGCTAGAATTTTCGCGACCTTTTGGTTTTTCGCAGCGTTTCCTTTTCGGTTCGGAAAGCGTATTTAGGACACCTGCGTACGTAGCTGCTCTATTTTTCCTTTTCCAAATACACCCGATACCTGGGTCTTAATTTGCATAAGCGGATCCCAACAGCGTTCCGACGTCAAACCGATAATGTTTGGTGAGCGGAGAACCCTTTTTCGTTTCGTTTTTCCTTAAACAAACTCTTTTCCATTTAGGCTTACTTTTTTTTAAATACCTGCTTTGATTCGCTTCTTTTCTCTACAAAGAGTGCAGGTGTGAGTCAGTTGTTCTGGCGTGGCATGACTCGACCACCCCGCTGAATAATTGCTCTTGCAACGCTTTACTAGAGCGTTATAGTACGCAATAGTACTCTAGTTTCTACATCCTTTATGATCTTGCACGGCCTCGGAAAATCTAGGTAACTAATTTGAGGTTATTTGTATTTTTAATCTCTGCTTTTTATCTTCTTTTCTCTATGAACGTTTTTTACTTTTAAGGTAAAGATCGCACCTCAGCGCCCAACCTCGCTTCCCGTCCTCCCATAGTACCGAGCGTTGTAGCGGCTAGGTGGATCTGATGAATTGGGTAGTGGGGGATGAGCCAGCAGTCCTCCGGAAGACCACAGGAGACTGCACTCCTTGCACAGCAGTATCATCTTGGACACACTATTGAACGGTAAGAGAGAGAGAGAGAGAGAGAGAGAGAGAGGGAGTGAGTGAGAGAGAGCAGGCTTTTGACAGCGTATAGAAAAGGCTATGGCTATAGAAAATGCGTGAGAGAGGGAGAGAGCGAGAGCGAGAGAGAAAAAGCAAGAGCGAGAGAGAGAGAGAGAGAGAGAGAGAGAGAGAGATTTCCATTACAGATGTATTTTTAGTGGCCCTCTTTCTGTCATCAACCATGCCATCCATCGCACTTCCGGAAAACCGTTTGCCATCAAGACGATCGACCTCCAAAAATATGAGCAGAGCACGGGATTGTCGAGGGCCGGTGAGTTTTATATTTTTTAGACTGTTAAGCTAAATTAACAAGAACTTCATTCATCAAAAGCATTTTTAGCCATCGAGGAGGAGATGGAGCTGTGCGCCACTCTCAAGCACCCGTTCATCTGTGAGCTCAAGGACGTGATCTCTGGGAAGTTTTGAGCCATTTAATTAATTTTCGTTTGGTCTTCAGTAACTTTAATGTGATTTTGAACTCCATTTACCTGAATGTACCTTTATCTGTCAAAATACCTAAGTAATTCAGGCGACCACCTCTCCCACCTCGTCTTTGAACACTTGGATGGGGCGGATATCTGCTTTGAAATTGTGAAACGAGCGTGTAATGGATTTGTATATTCGGAAGCTGTGGCCAGGTATGGCAGGTTGAAGATATTTTCATAAATTTTATTGTAAAGTCACTACCTCAAGCAACTCCTTCAAGCCCTCGAGTACCTACACTCTAACTCAATTGTCCATCGAGATGTGCGCCCGCACAATTTGGTGTTGGCAAGGTAAGAGTAAGATAAGAATTTGTCTGGTATGAAAACCCCTATTCGGAAATTGACGCCTATCAGTGCGCGCGTTCTCAGAATCGATCTTTTCAGCAAAGACAACAGCGCCCCCGTCAAATTGACCGGCTTCGGCGTCGCCATCAAGTTGCAAGATACAGATGCAAAAGTAGATGGAGGTGAGCGTGAATTGGGCATTATATTAGGTTGGAACATAAGTTCGCGCAATCGAACTTTGGAAATTTCTTTCTGAAAATTTAGTGGTCAGATTTCGATGTTCCCTCTTTGCATTTATCTATTGGGTTCATGAGTATGTGGGACCAAAATGACAGGTTTTTAGCCCCAGTAGTTTTGAAGATTTTTGCGTTTCGCTCGAGGGCATTTCAAATTTTTGACCCGGACATCTTTCCGAACCGCCATAAAGTCACCATAGGAACTGATCATCACTATCATAATAAGTTATATCTATCAGCTGCATGCCGAATTAGCCTAAAAAGGAAGCCAAATTTGCTTTGCACAGGCCGGCTGAAGCGATGTTTCAGTTTTGCTTAAAACTAGCTTTAAAAAATTCTAATAGGGAAGCAACGCGATTCCGTCCCACACATCGAATAGAGAATTTTATTGCATATCCGTTCATCCAAAAAACATTTTGGTTCTTGCCCGTTTTCCGGTCCGAAAATTAAAAAGAAAGAAAAATCTTGCGCGAACTTTAGTTCCAACCTAATATATTTAGAATATTTGTACAACCTGCAGTCAGCCAATTTTTATAAGATCAGGAAAGTTTAACTTTTCTTCACGAAAGCTCTTTATTTTTAAAAATACTTCATTTGGAAGTATTTTTGACATTAAATCGGCTTATCTAGTCGTCAAATCACGAAATTCAATACCACCTTTAAAAATTCAGGATTCTAACGTTAGTTTCAGGCCTCGTCGGTGTTCCCCACTTCATGGCCCCCGAAGTCGTCGAGAAACGGGAATACGGTACGAAGGCGGATACGTGGAGTGCTGGTGTTCTTCTCTACCTCCTCCTCTCGGGTCGTCTACCCTTCAGCGGCAACAATGAACAAATCTATGAGGCTATACAAAATGGGAGGTATTCGGTGGGTACTTACTGTATTAGAGCGTATTTACCGGTGCTTGAAAACGTCATAAATGAATTAATCTCTGTTTATAGGTTAGCGGCGGAATCTGGAACTTCATCTCCAACTCGGCGAAAGATCTGTTAATACGATTGTTGAATCGTGACGAAGAGCAGCGATTTTCGGCCACTGAAGCTTTGCAACACGATTGGTTGCGGGACAAGGTAAGCTTATTAAGGTTACCTACCGTAATTCTCTATATTTCGATCTTCCATTTATTTTTTCGAACCTTTATTCCTTAATTACTTTTATCAATAATATTAAATTAATTCCATTTAACTTTAGGAAGCCTACGCCCCGCGTCGCCATCTCCAGGAAACGGTCGATCACATCAAGCGTTACAACGCGAGGCGGAAATTGAAGGCGAGTAGCGTTTTTGATGGATCTTCTTGAATGTTGATATATATTCTTAATTGATCAACAGATCAGCCAATGCTCTTTTTACACCGCTTTTACAAAATTACTTATGCCTTTAGAGCACCATCTTGGCGGCCGTCAACACCGACAAGTGGTCAAAATTTCCCGGAACCAATGGAGGGCTGTCGGCGTCGAGTTCGACGTTTTTCTCGGGTTCGTTTGACTATTTCTTTTTTCTCTCTCTCTCTCTCTCTCTCTCTCTCTCTCGATCTCTCGATCTCTACCTCTCTCGTTTGGCTAAGCTAAATTGTCTGTGTCAAGGAGGGGAACGTGGCAGATCAAGACGTACCGATTAAGCTCGCTAAAGCCCACTTCATTGAAAGTCTATTCAAACAGTTTTCCGCCGCTTTTCAAGGTCGTTCCATTTTTCTCCACGTAACTAGTAGCCATTCGTAGCCCGTAAAGAGCGCTTCAGAATCCCTTTTCAACCAAATCCGCCTTCGAGTACCGCACTTTGCATAGTAAACCTCCGGAGCTTGGGGTTTTTCTGGGGGGTTTTCAAATAGCGCTTTGCAAAGCGTTTCTTTTTTGTTGGTTTTCCAGGTATTGCCAATAGTGTTTTGCAAACTAAGGCCTTTATCCGATTTATGCCAATTTTTTAGGTGACCTGCCCGGCGGCGATTCGTGCCATCCAGATGGCTGTACAAAAGCCTCACAACCAGCAGCAGCGGATTTGAGGGGAGCTCATCAGGTTGGTTTTTTGGAGCTTTAAGTCATCAAACTGTTATATTTTAAATTTTTGGTTCCATCATTTTTGAAGTTTTTAAAGTGGTTTTTGAAGGCGAAATTTGCCTTCAATATCTCGGATTTAGCACTTTTTATTTAGTGTAGTTTGTAGCCCAAAAAATTTAGATGAGAAACTTTGTTCTTTCTTGTTATCTCAGGCGCTCTTTCTTCGCTCTCTCTCTCTCTTTCTCTCTTTTTCTGTCTATCTATTTCTCTCACTCTCACTCTGGCTTTCTCTCTCTGTTTCTCTCTTTTCCCGATCCTTGCCAAGCCCTTTAAACCCCCGAACCCCCTCGAAATCGATGCCATTTGCATGTTAGCCAGCCAGTTTCCACCCCCTTCAGCCGGGCAGTTCCCCTGGGATCAACCCCCCTTTCGAAAAAGTGGGGGATGGCCACCCCCTCAGAAAGCCTAAAAGAATCCTGAAATTGCCCTCCAGAAATTTATGCGGACCACCAGCGCGTCAGTTGCTGCTGGTTTTTGCCCCAACTGGTACGAATTTGGGTATAACTTTGGCTTGGGGGTTTAAAGGACCTGAAAAGTTGCCAAATCCGCCCTTTCTGGTGACTGGGTCTCGAAATTGATTGCTTGGCCCAAAAGCCGCATAACAGTTTATTTTTCTGGCGTATTCAAGAGTGTTTCGTAGCTGTCGATGCCTATGCTAGGGGGCAAGGGGCGACTCTAGCTTTTCCTCATTTTTTTTAAACGGCCTGGGAAGCGCGAAAATCTACCTTTTTCTAAGTTTCAGCTGGTGTGTTACGTACTTGTCGATCTACGCTTCCCGATCCCTTTGATGAGCACTATTTGCTGTTTAACAAATCAGGCTTTAAAATTAATTTGCAAAGTAGCAAGTTAAGCTTTACAATTTTTTTGTAAACTTTTAAATGGTCCCTCTTTTTTATTTATTGAGACCATTCTTTGTACCCGATTTCCGGAAAACCTCAGTTTTCCGGTTGTCCCCTCCCTAGCTATGAGCGTCAAGGTGAACAGCCGGGGGTCGAGCTGTCGCAGCCGTGATTAATGAATTGAGCCCTCTTGGAAATGTGACATCGGCCAACCTTTCACCACGCACAAGCACACGTCAACTCATAGACTAACTAACAAGGAGAAACAACCCGGTCGTCATATGTTTTTGAGGACTGAGGAGCAGGAAAAGCAGAAAAAAAATGGGTTTTATTTAAGAAAGAGCCTAAAATTAGAAGCTGTTTGTTTAAAAGTATATACTTAAAACTAATGATTGTTTTTCAAGTCGTGCAGCTTTTTAAGGGTATCCTAAAAGTGCGAAAAGTGCTAGCTAAATGGCAATCATGGGTACGGATCGTATCTGTCGAGACATGGTCGACTAGACGTCGATTTTCTCCCTTACGAGCCCCTTTAAAGGTGCCTGGAGGTATTTAGGCTATCATTCAAAGTTTTTTACGGCTAGCAAGTAACAAAAAAATTAGGTAGCAAAATACAAAATCCCAGAAGCCGCCTTTCAACTCATCCCGTTGTCTCGCTTGCGCGCGCTGCGTACAGCCCCCCCCCCCCCCTCGCCGAGTCATATATTTGCACGTGTCATCAAGTGGGCACCCAAGGGGGGAGTGAAGTGACCGCTTCTGCTTCTTTTTCTTGTTCATCTCCCTCTTCTCGCCCTTTTTCCAAGCCACCCATCCCTCCTCATATTCCCCCCCTTTCTTCTTATTCTATTTCTTTCTATATCTCGCCGTGTTCTGGCTGCAAAACCCGAACCTATTTCTGCTGTTTTGAGGACCTGTCACCGATCCCTTGAGATCCACTGCTTTGCACCTAGACACTCAAAATTCCCGGGCCCGAAAAAGCTATATATCTGGGCCCAGAAATCGCGGCATTCTAAAAGATGCCCCGATGGGCCAATGCCACGCCACGAGCATTTCGAGTTATGGCAGAGAGTTGTTGCCGGTTCCGAAGGTAAATAAGGGTATTTAAAATCAATTCCGGGTTTACGCCTTTGCTGATTAGGCCTCTATTAATGTGTACATTTCCCTAATTGGATTTTTTAGGTTGATTTGAGATGTCACACGACCTTTCAAAACGTGTTTTTGTTCTTGAAAAGGAATGCTCTGGGAAATTAGCTGTCACTCCCCGTTTAAAGAGAACCACCGTAACGATTTTTATTGGCGTTAATCTCGCTGGAGCGAGGTTAAATTTGCGGCCAATTGCCATTGAATCCGAGCGTCAATAGGAATCGTGCGTAGTCATCCATTTGTTACGTTACCTTTAGCCAAACAAAATTTAGATGCACCATGCATTCTTTTCAAACCCCGAAAATTACATCATTTTGACGTCATTTTGCTAGCACAGTTCTTCAGCGTCTTTCAAACGCTTACCTACTGTCACATTCCGCTTGAAATCTCCTCACTGCGTCAGTAGGAATTTCTCGTTGCACTTCAACTGTTATACTCCCTTTAAAGCAGCTTCTAACAAAACTTCCTAAGCTTATTTCTAGTCCTAATCTGAATTCGGACATCCAAAAATTTCATCTGTCACGCTCCCGTTAAAACCCATTCCCCTACGTTAGATGCCTACGTCAGTAGGTCGTTATGTCTAGCATCCTGGCGCCAAAAATCCTTGAAATGTCACACTCCCTTTAAGATTTGACCCGCTCCGTTAGACTCCTAATGACAATGTTCTAAGGTTATGTCTAGACACCCCCAAGGGACATCAAAGCTCAGCATGCCCTTTGCAAGAAGCCGAACTCCGGAGCGGGGCACAATATAGGGCGATCGGATCGCGTTTCACGGGGAGGTTGGGAGGGCTTCTCCTTCAGCTTCTGCTCCGCCAGAAAACGCTTAGATTCAGATTCCGCTTATTAGGCCTCAGCCTAGGACGCTATCCTGGAACGCCCTTTTCTACGCTTCCATCCGGTCATTAAGGCAAATGGCCTACGTCTGGATTATGCCCAAAATTGGCTAGACCGGAAGCTGAGATGGCTCATTATTACTAAATCTCGATTCCTGCGCTCTTGCTCAAATTTTTGAGCTTATTTTTTCTAAAAATGGGCGATAGAGTTATGCCTTTCCATCCGGCGGTGGGTAGCTTTGTGAAAATTGGTCGAGAAGGAGCACTAAATCTGTTTATTCATAGTTTTTAACGAGTTTTTTTGGGATTTCTGGAGCGATTCGGATGCTGCAGTAATTATATAATGTTGTATTTCTTATTGAATACGCAAACAATTTTTAAAGTCCTTGAGCGTAATGTAGCCCTTCTAAAAACCTTAACTTTCGCATTTTCTGTTTTAATTTACTAAGTAATTATGCATTTATTAAAACGGGAGATGACGAGTTAAATTAATTTCTAATCTTCTTAAAGTCTACTGTAAGATCCAGACCATTTTTTTATCATCACGAGATCGTATTTCAAGCCATTCCAAAATTCCCACCCCGATTCCGTTTCGGAGTATCGGCGCGTAGTGATGTCTAGACCTTCAGAATTGATGAATTTTTGGTTCCGTAAAGTCAAGTTTTTATAGCCTAGGAGCGGGCTAAGAATTAAAGTTATAATAATACGTATACTTTCGCGCTAATCCATCATTTCCAGATCCTGGAATCGCTCGACCGGATCGCCGTCCTAACCGACTCGCCCGTGCTCCCGCAGCTCGTCCAGGGGCAGCTGATGGAGGACGGGTCTTTTAGGAAGCTGCTGCAGGTTGGTAACTACTTAAAAAATTGCTTAAATTATATCTTGGTCTAGTTTTTGGTATATTACTGACCGGAACCATGTAATTATGTTGTGCTGTGTAGTGTGGCCTGCAAGTTTTGTGATTTTTCCTCAAAACCCGGATTTTGTTTTCCTTAAAATTGCATTTTATACGTTTCTACATCCGATTATGATGGTTCAGACTACAAGCTACAAGCTACGAGATCTGATTTTAAGTCCGAGGAACGTCTGTTTTTCACAATGCTGTGGTTTTTGCTAGTTTTTCGTCTAAAAATATGTACTTTATATGCCAGATGCGCTTTGTGGGACCGAAGACGATTTTCTGGACTACAACAAATAAACTACAAACTATAAAATTTACTGGAATTGCCGATAGAAGATTTATTTTTCGGTTACCTCGATCCCGAACATCAACAGGACCAATGATTTGGGCCGTTCCGGCACCCATGGGTTGTTCGTTTTCGTTGGGGCTGTGTTTTTTATGTTGCTCCTTCTCACACTATCTCTCTCTCCCTCTTTCTCTCTCTCGCTCTCTCTTTCTCTCGCTTTCTCTCGCTCGCTCTCAGCAAATGCCCTGTGATCCCCTTGGGGGTTCCTGTTTTCCGGCCATGTCGTATACCTATCGGCCCGGTGCCCCGGATAAAAGGAAGAGAGAGAGCAAAACCCTCGGCAACTGTCTCATCTCCTTCCAGCAGCCCGCAAGGGGCCAATTCCACGACCCCTCCCCCCGGGCCCAGGACCCTATTTGTGGCCAGGTAAACGGGGTGGGCCACACGTGGTTTTGGGCATTTTTGAGTAGATGTACTTGCCAGATCCTGGATTTCCTTTTATCGCTAGTATGCTTTAGCACCCGGAAGTACCCTTTAGGTAAACAATTACGAACGGACCTAAGCCAGAGAAAAATAACGTTTTCCCACGGCAGGTTCAGGAGTCTGAAAATCTAGCGGACATACTTTTACGAAACCTTAAATTGGCGATCAGCTGTTATTTCTATTTTTTGTCTTAAACGACACCCTGATGTTTGTAATGTGAATGTTTATGTTAATTTTCTGCTTCTAATGGTGATTTTATCGCAAAAGCTTGAATTCCAATTGTAAACGTTTTCGTAATTAACAGATTCGGAATCAGCGACAAAAACTGGTCAGCATAAACCTCCCAAAGCTCTTACTCCTCGCATTTTGTCCGGAATATTCCGCTTTTAGGTAGTCAAATTTTCAAAAACACGTTTTTTATAGTCCCAACTTCAAAACAACGATTTTCAGCACCCCTAAAAAAGTTTTCAGTAAATTTTTGGAGCTCTGACTCTTGGAGCATCGTTAGGAATTTTCCGGAATTGCCACCCGACGAGCCTGCCTCTTTTAAGCGCCTAGTTGTCAAAAAATTTATAGAAATCTGTTTTATATTAATGAAATCTCACCTTTCCAACTTCATGCTTCCTAAACTTGAGTTTCGCCCCGTAGTTGTTATTTTAACGGTTCCGCCTTAGATTCCAGACAGGAAACCCTACCCCCCCCCCCGAACATGTCTCCTCCTTCCGTCACCCCCTCAAAAAGTTCGGCGAGTTCAAAAAATGGGGGTTTCCCCCCTCACCGATACCTCCCTGGTTTAAGACGCCCCTAATGGGGTTCTCGTCTTTCAAGAAAAAGCCCCTATCCTGAAGCGTTCCTGAAGTAATCCTGGCGTGGGGACGCAGGGCGCTTTTGCCTGCCTCTTGGAAGTCGAAAAGCTGGGTACTGGTTGTCAGCCTTTTCCGTTTTTTCCAGTTTTATTTTTTATTTGATGGGCTTGGGATTTGGGTGCCGGGGGCTGCATTCTTTTTTATCACTCTCGTGCTCCTTTGGAATCCAAATTTCTGCTCCCTCACCTCTCTAATCTAGTGCTTCAATCTGTGGTCGGCTTCAAGGGGCTCGGCTGAATTTTTTTGAGAGGAGGGGCGTATAAAAGTTGCGAACTGATGCATTAAGATGCCTGGAGTTCACCTAAATAGAAGCATCGCGTTGTCATCTTAATTCTAGCATTAATAAGATGTTATAGCTAGTAAGTTTCGCTTGTCCATACACCGCTTTACCTAGGTATGCGCGTCATGACTTCCATAACTTTAGGATAGGGCGGATTTGGCCAAAATTTTTGTATATTCTTATCATACGTTTACACCTCTTCGATTTAGAGTAATGCGTTAAGCATAAGTTAGTCAAGGTCCAAAAAGGCAAACCGCTCCGAAATATGACTTACAAACCCATTTCGCTTCGTCTAAAGCTCCGGCGATTCAGAAATTCTCTAGAAAATCGTTTGGATGAATCAAGAAGCTCCAGAATCGACCACGCTCTCTGCTAGGTCTAGGCATGTACGCGAGTCGAGAGAACACGTGGTGCTCTCATCATGATAACACAGTTACTGCCCGCTTTAACGCTGCCGCAGAATTCAAGCAGGCTCGAACTTGTCACTTGGCGCGCTGCGTAGCCGTCAAGACCTAGTCACAGAAAGCATCAATTCTTGCACTTCCTGGCCCCTTTAAAAGCAAGATCATTGCGTTTCTAACTCCATTTATTTGTAGTTTTTGGAAGTCGGACCAAACTTTTAGTTTTTGCTTTTAGCTACTTGTTGTTGATCTTAACAGTCTTATCTTGATCTTCTTTTTTATTTCTCCTTACACCCGCCCCTGTATGTTTGGTATCACGATGACCTCAGCCAATACCTCCTCAAAATCAATCCCACCCGGTCCAGCCGGTCCATTTCCGCTTCCCTCCTCGCCTCTTCCACCTCCTAACCACAATCCATCCGGTGGCCTCGAGGAGGTTGAGAGCAGCTTGGTGGGCCTCTCCCAACAAGCCGCGGGGTTGTGATGGATTGCCCACCATGAACTTGTGCCCCCGTCTCAACCAACCAGGTGTGCTATCAGGGCCATTATCATCACCCCTCCGTCACAGCCGGGTGTTTCCGGGCTTTTCCTGACCTTCAAGCTTTTCACCGGTGGATAAACATCCGGTTTCGGGTGTCACGTGTAGTTAAGCGGAATTTATACCGTAAGGCATGTTCATTTGCCTTTTTACTTTTTACCTTTCACCTTGTTACCTTTTTCACGTCAGAATTTTGAATTTTTAGGATGGATTTTGGCAGAATTAGGGTAGCAAGGCGAAATTACCGTATTTTGAGAATTTTTAGGCCTTGTATTCGATAAATTTCTGCCGGAAAATGTGATGTTTCGACTATTTCGACCCGATTACGGTAGTAAAAAACAACAGCAATCTTTAGAATTTTTGGTGCCAGATTTGTAGTTAATTCTGCATTTACTTGGCTTAAATTTAAAAACATATGATAGTTACGGTGGGCGCGATTTAGTGAAGTTTTGAATTTTTGTTTTCTCGAATTTTTAATGCTATTTAGCCTTTTTCTCTTTTTCTTTCTCCTGGATTTTTTTAGTTTTTACTTTACTTTTCTACACTAATCTTTCCCCTTTTAGAGCTTCTCGCACTCGAATTCCGCTCCACTACACTTTACGTCGAGTTCAGGGCCTTAATTGCGTTACATTCTACTTTCAAGCCATCAAAAAGCGTCTCTCTGTCAACCTGGACTGCTTGAAGACGTCTGACTCCAAATACAGCTGAAAGAGAACGATTTCGACGATTTTCTAGAATTTCTGAACTCCTTGAAGTCGTCCCCATTAGTCCATCCTCGTATGGACTCGATTCTCTACCAGAATCTCCTGCTCGCCGCGCTGATCGGCTCATTTTTGGTCTTTACTGTCTGCGTCGTGTGCGTCGGGATTCTAAGTGACCGCGGCTTCTGTTGCCACGAGAAGCGGAGAAGTTGGCGCAGGGCACAGTGCGGCGGCTGCCAGGAGGCCCATAAGAGCAAGAAGGGCAGCCGGCAGGAGTGTGTGGTAAACGAGGAGCCGGAAGAGGCCGAAGTGTACGCGGAAAATTCGGCCCATCATCATCACCACATCGCCCAGCAGCACTGCTCGCCGACGGCGCCTCAGCGGTACCACGAGGTGAGGAGCGACAGCAAGACGTTTTTAAAGGGGTCATTAAATGCAAAAATCGGCTAGTCTTGCCTGCTAGGTCTCAAAGTCCGCGACTCCCAAAAAAAACGGGCTGACGCATTTTTTAAGACGTATTTAGGCTTACCGCGTAACTGCCGAAACCTAGTCGACAGAGAGGGTCGATTATCGTACTCGCTCCGCCCGTTAAAGAAGCAATGAAGTTGAAAAATCTACCCTTTCATCCTTAGACTAGGTGTCGACAGCTACGTGTCGCTCCGAAAACTGTACAAATCGTTTCTCACGCGTATTTTGATCTTTTTCGTAGCTATCGAAACCTAGCTAACCAAAACCGTCGATTTAGCCTTTTGCGATCAATCTATTTCGCTGCTTTTAAAGGGACACGGAAGCGCTGGAATCTTCACCTTTTGGCCACTGGGTCTCGACAGCTACTAGTGATTCCAAGATTCCTTTTGGCAATGATTTCTGAAAACCTATGGTTGTCGAGATCTGGTCGCTAGAGGGCGGCGATTGCCGGGCCTTTATTCGCCTTAAAGGGGCCGGAAAGTGCCAAAACCTATCTCTTTCATCGATAGGCCTTAGCTACGCGGCACTCCAAAATGCGCATCTAGATTGATTTTAAAATCGTAAACTGGTGTGTCGCGTAGTTATCGAGATCTAGTCGCTGCAGGGTCGTGTTTCCAGCTTCCTATTTCCTTTCGCTCAAAGATTAGCGGATCTCAGATAGCTGTCGAGACCTAGTTTTAAAAAAGGTGAATTCTAGCGCCTTCTAGCCCCTTTAAGGAACCTAGCAGGCAAACTTTCACGCATTTGCCACGTATTTCCTCCTCTCCAGCGAGCCCCCGAGCACTACCAGCCGCTGGTGTGCAACGGGAGCAGTGCTACCGGGACGACCTGCAGCAGCCGATCCGCTTCTTCAAACCCTGGTGGAGGAGCTGAAGAGCTACGCGGCGCGCCAAAGAACGGAGCATCAGGTGGAGGAGGAGGA